GTGGTACAGAGTGGACCACAAAATTACGCACAAAAGGGACAAAAAAAAAAAAGAAAAAAAAAAGGGGAACGCAAAGTTTCCTAATTTGGTATTTAACTTAGCTGTTCTTAACATATACTTAATTCCATATTTTTGTTTGGAATTGTGTACGCTGCACCAGATTCATCATTCCTGTCTTCTTTAAATTAACCCCCACCGGCCACCCCCGGCCGGCTTCAGAAGAAGTCACCGGAGATTTAGAAGCTGCAAAGAAACCGAAGATGAACAAGACTGCCATTGCCTGCTCCATTTTCGCTTGCTTGAGTCCAATCTTGACCGGCTATGGTAATGTTAAGCTTTCATTTTTCTGTTTCCATTCATTTGTTTAGATGACACTAGAAAAGTATTTTAAAAGAATGAGTAAAGAGATTCGATCTAAAATCAATTTTTAATAGGTGAAAATTATGCTGTTTCACAAATTTTTCACTTTTTTTTTTTTTTTTTTTTTGGGTTAAAGGCCGAATTTAAAAAATGAGTTAAAAAATATTATTTCGCATGTTATATTCTTATATTTACTCAAAAGCTGTTATTATTGTGCCATAAGATATCTATTTTATTTTTTTCCTTCCATAGGTTTCTAATCTTTTTTAAAAAAAATTTTATTTATCTTTTACTTATATAATTATTTTTATCTAAAATTTTTGTTTAAAAAATTAAAAAATCAAATTAAATCTATTAAAAATAAATAGATATAGTAATATATATATATATAAAATGTCTACTTACATGGTGTTGTTCTTCGAACACTTTTCTTCATCTTCACATCATGTCATTATTATACTTTGATTACAAGATCAAATAAAATAATAATCAATAAACTTATAAAAAATATCAATTATAAAAGATCATTGAAATAGACATAAAAATCTTACTTTAAAGCAATTTATGCCTCTGTAAAAAGTATATTACTAGTGCAGTTGAGATATACATAGCATATTACCTCTAAAATGCTATAATTTTATAATAATATTCTATAACACTACACTACTTGTAGAGTATCTTAACTCAAAATATTTTTTTTTTATCTAAAAATATTTAGAAAATAAAGTAAAGTGAAAAAAAAAAAAAGAAAAAAAATAGAGAAGAGAATATGGAGGAATATAATACACTAAGTCAAGTTAAA